ATTGCTGCTGAGATCAGCTGTAGATCAGCTGATTTGAGCGGTGGGTCAGGAGGGGCCACCTTTGCCGGAGGCAGAGGGTTTGCACGGAAGGTCTCAATATGGGGGTTCCTGATGCCAAGACCTTGTTCCAGAGACGCAGTGGTTCCGAAGCACGGAATTCGGAGTTCCAGTGTTCCTGCGCTCCAGTTTTCCAGCATTTCAGCTTCGACGTGCCTATTATTAGTGGCATCTTGAGTGGGAGCTATGAGGGACCCGTGAGAGAAAGGGGCTAGGCTCCTTGTGGGCTGCCTTAGTGGCTTGGCGAAGAGGGTCTTAGTGGCCGTATAGAGGGAGCCCAGTGATTGCCTTAGGCTTGGTATAGTGAGCCTGTGTGGCTCTGTCGGTAGCCTAATGGCTCGGTGGAAGAACCTGTGTGGCTTAACCTTTCAGACCATTCGCCCTGTACCCGTGTCGCGAACGAACATTGTCTGGTCGGCTTTCGAGTTCGCCCAATAAAATCCGCCTCCTAGTGTCCAGTTTACAAGACATTTATTCTAATTGTTTACATTTATTGATTTGCTTGTTGTAGTTAACTTTCCTTTGCACTGCTCGTCTCAAACGCACAGCTAAAAGGTTTACTCCGCCGTCGTATCCGCCTAGCGTACCGTACAAGGAATCTTAAGATAGGCTATCGCCAAGGGAATCAGGTAGCTCGCAGGACTTGAGCTATCAATTATCTGCAGCGCATGATTGTGATAATACCCCCAAGCTACATAACACCTATAGAGCACATACTCGGTCATTCCACATGGTGCTGCAGTGGCAGCGGGAGAGCAGTGCAGGAAGGACGCAAGAGAAAGATGGGATAGGGGAGGAGAAAAACTGATCGCCAACAGACTTAAAGGCAGCGATTACGATAAAGAGGTAGCGCATCGAGGAAGCAAGCGAGTTGTAGCGCTTCGACGACGAAAGGTGCGCTGGTTGCTGAGCAGGACTTCGAAAGCACTCCGCCCCCAAAAGCGATCCGCCCACTAGTTTACTTGGTGATTTGGACGAGCTGCGTTGCCAGCAGCGGCACAACTGGAGCAACTCGATTGAAGCGTGGTTTGGCATGGTGCCACCAAACGCGTTGCGGTGAACTCGTTCATACGTCCGCTTTCTGAGCTGTTACCTGTTCATGAGTGAAAACCAACGGCCAAAAAAGGGGTCCCGTTTTGCGTTTTCTTGACGGATTTCTCCTTTTTTCGCCACTGGCGTACCACTGAGCACCACCACGTCTCCTCTAAACCCTTCTTGAACTATCGTAATCACTGCCTTCAAGGTACAACTTAAGTATCCAGATGTCACTGTATGAGCACCTAAATGGGCATTTGAACAGGAGAATACGAGAATAAGAACTAAGATTTACAACCAGAACTAATGGTAAGCAGGTGGGTTGAGAAGAGCAGATAAAATTCGTTAAAAGAATTGACACATCACGACTTTGTCAACTTCATACTTCTGCGTTTAAGACAACCTCACTACCAAAACTACTCGAGTGATAGATGAGTGACACGAAATGTTCGATGCATGACAAAAGTTTATTGAATTTCAACGGGCAAACTATACAACACAGGAAGGTAACACAAGTGTGTCCATTCTTCGTTCTGGACCAGCATAACGTGGGTAAACACGCGCCAGGTGTCAAACCATATTAAAACATCGACAAGAGCGTTAGGATACAAGAGAAGGCCGCAGAAGATTTGTTGCACTCCGATGAGCAAAAAAGTAGGCGTGGCTACGATATTGTTCGCCTATGGTACGCAATTACACGCAAAATGAATTCAAACGTAAAATCCGCTCCTGTGCGGGTGATCCTTCGATGCAAATGGGTTCTAATTTGCGTTTCAAATGTGATTGTAACCTTCTCCGTCATGTGTCACTGGCTTGGATGTGTTCCTTCTGTGCTTTTTGTTATACTTGTTTAAGTCAAGCCACTGCTCTTATTTGGAAAGTTGTTCTGTGGGTCGATAGATAAGTGCAGTTGTGCTGTGCGAATTTTAATGATGATTATAGATCTCTCACCAGTGGCACCATGCTTTTAAGGGAATGAGCGTGTCGGTGCAAACCTGATGCAGGTGGAGTGGCGCTTCACCTAGGTCTTCTCGATTATGTCCCTCCGCCTTCTTTCTGGGACTCTTTGCCGTCGCTTGCCTGTGCTTTGAAGTCCATCGCTTTATTTATGAGTGATCTCATGGCCTTCTTTTCAGTCTAT